TGCTACCTTCCGATTGCGAAATTTTTTTTAGGGGTGATGCTTAGGTGGTTGTGAATTTCGCCACCGGTAAGCGTTTAAATTGTCCAATTTTAATTTATTGAAAATAGGATATTTTTAATATTTTGTATCGATAAATACAACGGAATTGTGACAAATCGGATGTAAATTATATGAAGGTTTAAAAAAAAAGCCGGTTGCGTCCGTTTTATAATTTTGTTATAAAAACTAGGAAATTTGTGCGGTCTAGTTCAATTAGTCGTACCCTATTGTACATGGCTGCAGTCAAAATTTTACTTTTTTTTTTTTTTGTTTAAATAGCCGTTTTACGAAAAACAATAATGTCACCTTGTCTTCTTGAATCGTCATTAAATTGAGAGTTAAAAAATCTCGCACACTTTCAAGGTCCAAATTTAAACAAGTCCAAATATAAAGTAAATACGACGCGCTGAAATAAAAAAAAAACTGGGTTTCAAGGCTCACCTCATAGTACTCCAATTGTTTCAAGACGGGCTCAATGTCTTTCAACAATACCTCAAAAATTATTAAATGACTTGGCCATTTTCTTAATGAATTATTTGAGAATGAATTGTTAAAAGTCGGTTGCTCAAAATTAGCATAAATGAAATCAAGAGGGTTTTTATAAAATTGATCTGCTTCATCTAAATAATCTTCTAGATTGATATTATGACTATGAAAAATAAAATAATCATTAAAATCCTTTTTTTTTTTTTTTTTTTTTTTTTTTCTTAGAGAACTTACTTCAAGGGGGGTTCACAAGTTAAAAACCACATTTCTAAATTTCTATGCAAATTACTATAAAATGGAGTTGAATGGCAAGGTGCCAAAAATCCAATATTTTTAACATTCCCTTTATCAGCTTCATCTCTCAAATAGTCCATAACCTCTATGACACCACTTTGATGAATTGTCGCAGCATAATATGCCATAGGAACATTTGTAACTATCAAAAATATTATGGAAAATTTTAACAATGTAGACTTTTTTGAACTTGTGGAAGAGTTCGCTAAACGAGAATTTTTCATGTTGGAAATTTTGTCAATACCAACTCCAGAGATAACTACCAAAATAGGTAGTAAGGGGTATATAAACCTAAATTCCTTATGGCCAATTACACTATAACACAGTATAACCCAAATACATAATTGTAAGAGGGGCTTGATGCGATTCCAATATCGAGGATTTTTTCTTGCAGAATATATCCCAATAATGGTGAACGGAATTAAGGTAGTCAATACAACCGGTAATCCCTGGGAAAAATACCAATGCCATGGGTGGGCACCATAAAATAAAGAAATTGATCCAATTATATTTAAATGGAAAAAATTGTGCGGTACAAACACAAATGTTCCATAAAATTTATAATCTATCATTATCATTGTTGTAACTGCAATAATGCTAAATGAAAAAATATATATATAATAAATAAAATAATGAGTGGATATTTGAGAAAATTATAAAATTGTCATGAGAAATACGTACAAGATTATTATAGTATTTGTGACAATAGATACGATATGTTTTGGCATTTTCCAAAGAAGGTGGACACCTAGAAAACTCCATATTATCACATTAGTCGGCCGAAAAATGCAAGAAATTGCAGCCAAACTTAACGACACGCGTAGCATTCTAAATGACACATTTCGGATATTACCTTAATGAAACAAGTAAATTTATGAATCACGGTTTAACATTCTTACCTTTCTCGTTCATTCCAATTCCTCGGTGTAGGCAATGAAGGCCAGGGCCAATAAGACAAAGCTACAATAGTCAGAGTTGTCTCAATGCTATTCGAAAACATGCGAACCGAACAAAAAAAGTTAAACCAAGATATTATAGAACAAAAAAGCTAAATACAAAGAATAAAGGTAAGGATAAATAATTTAAACAAAATATTTTACAAAAAACACATGAATTAAATGATACATACGGTCCATTTCGCAGATGAATCAGTAAATAAATTTCTAGCCAGATAATATGAATGAAAATCACTTATGGCAGCGAAAACAGCTTG